CTCATGTATCCTTTATCCACTTTCTTTCATGGTAATATCTTGCAAAACTATAGTACAATATTACAACCAGGATACTAATAGATACAGTTAAGATACAGAACATGTCATATATAACTAAGAACTAATAATTTTTTTTAAAAAAGATACAGAACATTTCTATTATTACAAGAATCTCTCAAGTTGCCCTTCTTTTAGCCTGCAGAAACTACTGACTTGATCTTTCTATATATTTTAATATTAAGGCTTTGGGCTGGGGATGTGGCTCAAGCGGTAGTGCGCTCATTTGGCATTCGTGTGGCCCGGGTTCTATCCTCAGCACCACATACAAACAAAGATGTTGTGTCCGACGATAACTAAAAAATAAATATTAAAAAAATTCTCTCTCTCTCTCTCACTCTCTCTTTAAAAAAAATTAAGGATTTTATGTAAATGGAATTAGAAAATACACATTATTTTGCCCCCCTTTTTTGTGTGTAGTTCTGGGGATTCAACTGAGGGCATCTCCTATTGCTGTCAGTGCTTTACCCTTGAGTTATATTCACAGCTCAATACATATCCTTTGGCCTCTTTCACTTAATATAATTCTCTACAGATCATCCAGGTTGTTGCATGTATCATTCCTTTTTTTTTTTTTTTTTGCTCAGTAGAGTTCCAAGGCATAGATGTATCACAGTTTAACCATTTTCCCATTGAAGGATATCTGGATTGTTTCTAGTTTTTAGCTATAATGAGGAGAACTGCTATTAATAGGTGCTTCTCCCCAGCCCCCCAGTGAGAGAGATTGAACTTAGGGCTTGAGTGTGGGCTCTGCCACTGAGGTACCCCAATTCTCTCAGTGAGCCAGGGTCTCACTGTGTTGCCCATGCTGGCCTCATGATCCTCTTGCTTCAGCCTCCCAACACAGGGCACCATTCCCAGCTTACCTGAAAGTTTTACATGAGTACAAGCCTTCATTTCTCTGACAAATGCTCAGGAGTGCAATTTCTGGGTCATGTGGAAGTTGCATGTTTAGTTTTTTTTTTTTTTTTTTTTTTTTTGTGTGTGTGTGTGTGTGTTTGGGGATACCAGGGATTGAACTCAGGGGCACTTGACCACTGAGCCACATCTCCAGCCCTATTTTGTATTTTATTTAGAGACAGGGTCTCACTGAGTTGCTTAGTGCCTCCCTTTTGCTGAGGCTGGCTTTGAATTTGGCAATCCTCCTGACTCAGCCTCCCGAGCAGCTGGGATTATAGGTGTACACGAGCGCCCCCAACCACCCCTGTTTTTTAAGGCCAATGACTTTATTGATCTAAAAAATTTACAAGGACAGTGATTTATGCCATAAAAGGCACCAAATGGAATCAAACAGACCAGAAGTGAAAGATGGGGTGAGGGAAGGGGCCAAAAGCCCAATCAGAAAAGTTGGTTAAATGTTTCCATGAAACTAGCAGGGGAAGGAGGAAGGCAGATGCATGCAAGAGCAATAATTCCAAAAAGATAGAAATGGTGAGGGGAGAGAACTCTGAGAGACCCTGAAGTACAACAATAGGAATCTTTTCCTTTGTAGAGGACAAGGAACCCCCACTCAGCTGCCAACTCTGGACATTCAATGGGGTTGGGGACTGAGGGTTCTCCAGAGCACATCACAAGAAGGCATCACACCATTCTTAAAAGCACCCAAAGCCGTCCTGGGACTCTTTTTTGGCCTTGGAGCCCCATTTCCTTCTTCATCTTTCTTTAGCAYCCCAAACTAGGACCACATATGTCTTATGAAAGTCCTTTTCCTCCAGCTTCTTGTCCAGGACTTACTCAATCCTGGCCAGGCTCCCCACTGGCAGTCCCTCTATAGACTTTGACACGAAATCTCTGTGCTTTTGTGGTGCTGCCATCCTGATCAGGCTTAATAGGCAGCTCCTGCTCCCATAACGGCCCCTTTTACCACTCGGCTGCTCCAGCCAGTACTTCAAACCACTAGAATTTTTCTGTCTCCTCTCCTTTTACATTATTGAAATAACTACATCAAGTCTCTCTACTCCTGACCATCTTCTTTAATGGTGTCAAAATTCATTTTCAGACATGGGCCGAAAAATTGTTGAGAGATGACATATCTTGGTATAAATGTAGTAGGCATTTGGATTCATCTAACTTAAAGAAAGAGACGTTGGTTAGAACTTTTGTGAAYTGTCTCTTTAAGTTTATGGTTAAAGTTATGTAAGTAGATGAAATGACTCATGCAGTGTGGGTGGAAGAGAAAGAAAGGAACTGAGTCCAGAGTCCATTCATACTTAAGAGTTGGGTAACTGAGTAATCAAAGGGCTAGGATATACTTTGGAAAGTAAAACAAGAAGTGAGACATTAGCAAAAGAGCATATAATACAGTGTTATATGCCAGATGAGAGACAATTTAATTGGAAGACTAAAAATATATCTTGCATTTGGTAGCTAAAGGGATGAGTGTTCATTTTTGCTTGGCAGTTTCAGTAGAAATGCAGGCAGAAGACCAGAGATACCTACTTGAAGCATGAATGGGAAATAAAGTGGAGGTAATGAATGAAGCGATTCTTTGAATGTAAAGTGAAAAGAATAAGCAAWAATTAGAGAGTATTAATGGAAAAATGATTTGAAAAAAACTGGAGGCCAAAGTTTTAGGATAAAGTTGAATTACTGGGGAGAATACCCCAAAAATATAGGAAAAAATCTTATAATTAGTCAACAAAGAGCATGTAATAATACCCCAAATTTATCTTAATGAAAAATTATACAAAAGAAAGGAGAGATTTAAGGAGAAAGGTTCTGGAAGAGATGGGAGAGAGGATTTGGTTCAGACTGGTGGGAGGGAGGTGGAGAGGGGTAAGCTGAGATTAATTTGTGTTTGGTGAGTTCAGCCTAATGGCTTTCCTCATCCTTGGGGTGGGGGTTTGAGAAGAGTCCTGAGGGTTGGAACAGTCATTGAAGAAATGAGAGATGGTGCTGATTAATCACAAGGAATAGGATTGTTGAGTCTGAGGAAAAAAACACGTGTTTGTAGTGTTGTCAGTTTGTACAGTGGGGCCAGGGTGGGCTTGAGAAATTGAATTGGGAGTTTAATAGAAGAAGAGGATGTGGAGTCAGGAGTGGATAGTCTAAGAGAACTGAAGTAGTGATTGTGAAGCCAGAATTAGACAGGCAGTCAGCATAGATAGGTAAATTGAGTCAAGTCGGATCAAGGAGGCCAATTTTGAGTGAGTCCGAGAAGTTGGAGACTCCCCTGGAGGACTGAAACGTTAATTCCTACAGAGCCCTTCCATCACCCTTATCTAGAACCTGCTCCTGCTCCAACCTGTTGCCAAGGTAACCGCCCTACAGGGAGCTATAAGTTGTTGAAGTGTAGTTGGTTGCACCATTCTGCCCTTCCCCCTTCATCCCACCTGTTTCCACCTTTTGGCCATCCCACCAAGGAYTTCCTAGGCCTAATCCTGTATGGGGAAAGGAGAGAGATAAGGGGAAGAGGGCAGAACAAAGGAAGCCTAGGACTTATAAAAAGGGCAGAACATCTGGCTTCTGGGGATACCAGGATATCACTATGGCCCCCTTCTCCCTCCCTATGTTCCTCCTATGTTACCCCTTTCTAAATAAACCCTGCTTTATATGCTTGCCTCCAGAGTGCTTCTCCAGTGTTCAAATATCAATATGTGGGGGAGCAGAATTCGTGGCAGATAACCAGTAGTATCAGTTGGGTTAGAAAAAAGGTGTAGAATTATTGAGCAAGAGAAACATGGAACAACACTTTCTGACTAGAAAAGATGATATTGGAGTTAAGATTTCAGATGTAAAGAAGCTTGAGATAATCATGAGGTCCAAGAGAGAGAGAGAATGCCACAATGAAAGAGATGAAAGCCATTGTTTCAAAGGACCCTGCAGTGTTAAGGAATTTGTTTTTTTTATCTTAGAATTTATGGAAAGTCAAAGAAGGGATAGGACCATATTAACCTTTCAGAAACCTTACTCTGATGGTACTGTGGATAATGAATTAAAAGAGGGGCAACACTCAAAGCAATCAGAGACAAGTTCATTACTTCTGCACCCAGCTGAAGGGCCTTGTTTCAGATAAGTTTTTTGCCACAAAATCTACCCTTTTCATTAAACCCAGTTAATTGAACCAATCAATCTTGATTTTGTGCTCCTGGAAAGACCACCATACCTCAATTGTATTTTGCTCACAGCCATGTTTACTAAGTGTAATTAAAACTCTCTTTTCTGGGCTAATTTCAGGAAAAATTCGCTCTACATTCTTATGTCATTAAAGTTGTGGGGCCAGATACGGCTGTTGTAATTGGAAATAGTGTCACCCTCTTCTTGTCATTTACTATTTTTCTGAGAGCCTCTGGAATTTTTTTCTGAAAAATCTCAGCCATAGACTTTCCCTGACCTGTGTTTCCTCACGCAGAAAATATACTTCATATGTTTATATTTGTCTTTCCTAGCAGGTCCTGAATGCCTTTATATTAAACTGTATCGAATTCATCTTGTTATAACGTGGTACTTAGACATCCTAGAATTCTGGATCCGAAATATAAGTTTAACAAATGTTCGGTGAGTGAGTCAATGAATGAATGATGGTTCCCATAATAGACTGGGATGCAACTCTGTCCTCCCGGCGGCTACATAATCTTAAGGTCCCAACAAGTCTGTGATGGAATAGGTTTAGCTGCGATGCCCAAGCAGTTTTCGGAGTAACAGAAAGTGTCACTCCACTAGACCCGCTTCGTTTGGAAGCGGCTGTAAGAAGACACAGCCAAGCTTGTTTCCCCCGAGGCTGTTTTCCGTACAGCAGCATGGCAGCTGCCTTCCTGAACTCGGCCGCACGTTCCCTCTGCGGGTAGAAGTCGAAAGCTCTGTCCGTACAGTATCATGGCGCCGCCCGTGGGAGCCGGTCACAGCATCACGCCCGGGGGAAGAGGCCGCCGTAAAGGAGGCGCCGCTTCCTCTTCTTACTTCTCCCGCCTCCCACCGGCTGTCGTAAAAGGGTGAATGGAGAGCGAGTTGTGGGGGGGAAAGAGGGAGGACAGGGGGCGCGGAGTCAGAGTGGCGCAGCAAGTGGCTGCAGGTGGCGACGGTGGCGGGGGTTGGGGAGTGAGGTAGTCTAGGCGTCGCGGAGGAGGAAGGTGAGAGGGTCCAAATAAAACTAAATCTGCAGTCTGGCCTACTGGTCCGGGGGCCGCGGAGCCCCCACCCGGGGAGATGGACCTCAACCGGATCATCCAGGCGCTGAAGGGCACCATCGACCCGAAGCTTCGGATTGCAGCAGAGAACGAGCTCAACCAGGTGAGAGCGGGCCTTCGGCGCCCCGCTGCCGCCGAAGCGGTGCCCCCAGCCGGATTGCCAGCTGTCCCCGCTCGACGCCCTTCGTCTCTACCCCCACCCGGGCTCGGGACCCCGGCGCTCCCTCGGCCTGTCCCGCCCCGGGTCCAGTGGAGCAGCATGGCACTCCCCCGGGGTCTTTGCAGAACAACTCACGCACCTGTTGGTCACCTTTGCATCTTTTCGTGTCGCCTTCCTTCCCAGTGCAGTTTGTCAACCCCACTTGGTCCAAATAGAGAAGCTTTTGCAACCTTTGCCCGTGTCTTCAGGGTGGGAAGCTTTTCCGTAAGCGCTCTGGAATTGGGGACGCGGTTGGGGGAAATTCACTTCATATTCAAAGCCGAGTTAGCTTTTCTCCAGACCCAACCCTTTTTAGGTGTTGCTGTGGGAAACCCTGCCCATCGCCTGCTTCTGTGGGGTTGGCACGGTCTCTTTTGACAAAGAGTGGCAAGAGTTTTGTTGGAGCGCTGGGCATTGCTGTCGGGAGAGTGCTCTGGGAAGAAAGGGCAGTTTTCATGTGCTTTACCAAAGACACATCCCCTAATCGGTGTTTGGAGGGATTTCTTTTAAATGCTAAAATGTGTAAGAATTTCTTCTATTCGACTTCAGATGTTCTTCCTAACCAACCTTGGCTTTGTTACAGTGTTATCCCCAATATTCCAAAAACTTAATGATCCCGGACTCTAACGTATTTCTTCCTTCATACCTGTAACACTGAACCACAGACCTGTTACTAAAAAGTACAAATGATACCTACTCCTAGGATGAGGTGACTACTGTTTGAAGTTCTAACAATCCTTAAAATATAAAGGAATATTCTCAAATTAATTACTTGCAAGGTATTTGCTCAGGACCAGCACATCAACATCCTCTGAGAATTTATTGAAAGTGCAAGTTATGGGGTTTCTTCCCAGACTTAAAGGGARATTATGGGCGTGGGAACCAATTGTGTTTTAACTAACTCACCAGGTGATTCTGTTCCTTCTAAAATGTGATAAAGTCTGTCCTAAGTAAATGTTTCTGTTGGGGTTAATTTTAAAAAGCAGATATGAGTTGTGAGTCTTTGAAAGGAATTATCTTAATGGGAAATCTGTGTGGAGTTCTGAGTAGACTGAAACCTGGATTCCCAAGCGATAAAAGGGATTGTGAAAGTACTATGAAGACGAGAGATTGTATTAAAACCCAAAGGGGATGTGTCAGGACCATCACTCAGGATAAAGTTAAAGTCAGCACCTGCTTTGCAGATTAGCTGGAAGAATAGTAATCCAGGGGTTGGTTAGGAAGAACAAAACAAGAGCTGAACTTGCAATTTTCTAATATGAACAGGAGAGTTAGCTTGTTTGTGACCCCCTTCTCCTCATCACAGACCATTTCCAGTGCAACTTCTTAAGGTACCTTATTCATGCTTGAGGCCCTTTGTTCATCCCCAGCACTGCAAAACCACTACCAACAACAAAAAACTCTATAAATAAATAAATAAATAAATAAATGTATGTATGTAGATTATTGCCATGCCACTCATTTAGCATTTGTTTTGTATGGTGTTTTGCATTGCAATATATCCACACTGTTTTTTGGAATTGTCTTTAAGTAGAAGGCCACCATATAGTGTTACTTAACCTTATAGTAAAACACGGTTTAGCTAGACATGGTGACACACATGTGTAATCCCAGCTGTTTGGGAGGCTGGAGGCAGAAGGATTGCATGTTTTAGGCCAGCCTGAGCAACTTAGACCTTGTCTTAAAATAACAAGGACTAGAGATGTAGTGCAGTGGTAGAGAATCCCTGGGTTCAGTCCCCAGTATGGAAAACAAAAACACACATAGTTTATGGTTTTTGGGTTTTGTATGCTTGTCCGTTACCACCACTGTAACTTTCTGCTTTGCTGGATAATCTGGTGGGTAATCTATCATAAGTATTTATGGTTCTCCTCTTAAAATTTTGTGTTTTTAAAATTTTTATTTTCATAGTGCTGGGGATCCAACTCAGGGTTCCTGCACATGCTAGACAAATACTCTACCATGGAGCTACATTCTAGTCCCCAGCTCATTAATTTTAGTCTAGACTGTCCCACCTTAGCAAATATGCTTTGCATAGGAAATGGGGGTAGCTTCTACAGTGTGCTTGCCGATTGATCTGTCAATTGCTTTAAGAGTAAGTAGCTTCAGCATAACAGCCTAAGGTCTAAGGGATAAATTCTTATTTGGAAGCTATGTTTTCTTAGGCCAGCTTTTTTCTCTTAGCAGTGACTGGTTCTCTGACTGTCTGTGATATTGTTTCTATGGAAAATAGATTTTTGAGTCTTTTTTTATTAAAAATGAATACTGTACACCTTCCTCACTGTCTCTCCACCAGAAGTCCCTTTAGCAGCAGCATAGAGGGGTAGCATTGGGTAGATGTCTTGCTTCTGTAACTCACTCAGAAAGATGTCGTCGTCTTTTTTTTTTTTTAATATCTTTGTTTTTATTTATTTTTATGTGGTGCTGAGGATCGAATACAGGGCCTCACACGTGCTAGGTGAGTGCTCTACTGCTGAGCCACAACCCCAGCCCCAAGATGCCTTCTTTTGAGCATGAGGCACTGGGTTTGATTCTCAGCACTACATACAAATAAATAAATAAAATAAAGGTATTGTGTGTCCATCTATAACTAAACATTTTTTAAAAAGTCGTCTTTTTAAAATTATCCTCCACATGTTTTCAATAGGGAAATAAAGATAATTACTTTAATTGCCAAAATTTGGAATCCCCATTTTCCATGGAAGTGTGTGTGTGTGACTCGAGCCTGCATATTAGTTAATGGGGATCTACACCCAGTAGATCTCCAGTAACTATTCTACACCCAGTAGCTACACCCCTAGCCCATTTTTATTCCTCTTTTAGAGAGTTTGTTTATATGAATGACAGATATATTTATAGAGTTATATTGTAGGCATTGGTATAAGATTCTTCTCCCATGGAGCTTATGTGCTAGTGAGAGATACAGGCAAGCAAATAATATAATTTCATGCTAATAAAGCCTGAGAAAGTGTGTTGGAATGTATGCATAGGGTAATCATTCTCTGAGGAATGACATTGAACAGACATAGATGTTGTGAATGAGTGAGCTAAGAGAATTGGGAGAGGAGCAGAGGGAATAACAAGTTCAGAAAAGGCCCTCAACCTGTCATTTTAGAAGACTTGAAAGGTAAATGTAGTCAGAGCAGTGAATCAGAGAATGGGAAAATCAGGCTTTTGCTTTATAGGAGTTCTCATAAAATGCAGAAGATAGCCAAGCAAGAAAACAGTTTTCAGTGAACTTCACAGATTCAAAATAAACATCCTTAAGAAATCATGGAGAAATCRGTTATCTCATTTATGTATTTATTTATTTAAATATTTATTTATTTTTTAGAAACTTGAAGCCCAAAGGAGGACAAAGAAATTGAGTAATATTTGTGAGGCAAATAGTATGAGAATATACCAGAATTTACTGCTGAATGTTTTATCTGGCCAAATTARCATACATTGAAACAAAGCTAAAAGGAGAAGACAAAGTTCCTGAAGTTCTTTAAAATGTAAACAGTTGAAAAAAGAGAAGTTCCAACTGTGGCAACAATGCTGAAATTAATTTCAAATAAGTAGCATTATCTAAGTGTAAAGGTTATGTTGTTTTTATGTGTAGGAAGATTTTTTAAAAAGTAACCAATTAGTTTTATGATTAAAGTAACTTATATAGTTTTTTTTTTTTTTTTGGACTGGGGATTTAACCCAGGAGCACTTAACCACTGGGCCACATCCCAAGCCCTCTTTTTATTTTTCATTTTGAGACAGGGTCTTGCTAAGTTGCTTTAGGGCTTCACTCTCAAAACTTCTGATCCTCCTGCTGTTGCCTCCTGAGCTGCTGGGATTACAAAGTGTGCCACTGTGCCCAGCACAAATGAATTATTTTATAACGTGTATGTAGAGAGATGTAGAAGATGGTGCTAAATCTATATTAATCTTGCCACTTGTAAATTATAGTTAAATATGTTTAAGAATTGAAATTTTGGGGCTGGCGTTGTGGCTCAGTGGTAGTGTGCTTGCCTTGCAAGCACGAGGCCCTGGGTTCGATCCTCAGCACCACATAAAAACAAATAAAGGTATTGTGTCCAACTACAACTTAAAAAAAAATTGAAATTTTGTAGTTTCAATTATGAAAATGAATTTCCCTTAAGTATGATAGATTTAAGATTTTTAAAAAAATTTTTTAGTTATAGATGGACAATACCTTTATTTATTTATAAATCTTTCGAACCCATGCCTCTCACAAGCTAGGCGAGCACTCTACCACTGAGCCACAATCTCAGCCCCAGATTTAAGATTTTAAAGACTATACAGGAGGGAAGAATAATTATAAGATAATACAAAATTTTACTGAAGTATTTGGGAAAGCACAAAAATGTACTTGAATGGAAAAGATGTTGTTTTTCTCCAAATTTATTTTTAATCATATTTACCTTAAATGCTACTTTATAAATCAAGTAATAGAAGAGGTGATTAAATAAATGAGTGTATGCACAAACCTAGCTGTATCTTCAAAGGGATGATACCAGAGATTCAGGCTCCCAGGAGAATGTAAGCTAGACAGACTCTCTGGGGCATTGTCTGGTTTGGCTTCAGTGAGAATTTACAAGTCTTTTCTGGGATTGTCAGTGGGCAAATCCATTTATGGGCTCTGGGAATGTACAAGGTTGTGAAGGTCCAGATACTAAACATCTATGTAGAGCATGGCCAGAAGGAACCGGCTGCTCTGTTTCTTTTCTTTGCTTCTAAGGTTACCATGGCCAAACTCAGGAGCAGATTACTGGTGTAGAGCATGTCTGGGGCGTGAAGTGACTCAAGCAGCAGGGCAGAGAAGAAACTCCACCAGCATAGGCTCCCTTAGGCATTATTAAGTTTAAAAGATGCTATAGCCGCAGAGGACAGCTGGCAATGACAGCTTTCAACCCTGTCTTGTGAGTCACCCTGTTCCAATCTGGACTGGCTCTTCTCCATAGCTTAGGCATTATTTAACATCTGGTTCATGGTACTGGATATCCAGTTTTCTGTAGCTGATGTTTTCTTGATTTGCGTTTGTCAAAAATAACAAACAAAATTAATGTACAAATAATTTGAGAATAAACACTTGTAATGAGTTATTCCATAAATAGCTTTTAGACTTTATTGAGAAAAAGTGAAAATTTCACCTACAAAAAGATAAATAGAGTAAGGAATTTGTGGAAGCAATTAGCACCCAAACAAAACAATAGCAACCACAAAAAGCCTCCTTAGTAATAGAGGAAATATAACTTAAAGTATTAAAGTTTCAAAGAAATGGTTAATACTCTACCTACATTGCTTATATGGACACTTGTATACTACTGTTGAGTGTGTGATTTTGCATATTCTTTGTGAAAAGCATTTTGGCAGCATATGTCAAAAATCATTGGGGATGTGGCTCAAGCGGTAACACGCTCGCCTGGCAAGTGTGCGGCCCGGGTTCGATCCTCAGCACCACATACAAACAAAGATGTTGTGCCCACCGAAAATTAAAAAATAAATATTAAAAAACTCTCTCTCTTCTCTCTCTCTCTCTCTCTCTCTCTCTCTAAAAATAAAAAAAAAAAAATCATAAGTGCCTGGTGGAGTGGTGCACATCTGTAATCCCAGTGGCTCGGGAGGCTGAGGCATGAGGATCTTTAGTTCAAAGCCAGCCTCAGCAAAGGTGAGGCACTAAGCAACTCCGTAAGACCTTATCTCTAAACAAAATAAAAAATAGGACTGAGGATGTGGCTCAGTGGCAGAGTGCCCCTAAGTTCAGTACCTAGTTAAAAAAAAAAATCCTAAGTGTTCACACTTTTATTTATGAGCTTATTCTAAGAAATTGTCTTTTGACTTGAAGTATCTTAATAATCTTCATTTTGCCATGGAGAATTTGTTTTATATTAGTTTTTCTTTTTTTTTAAAGAGAGAGAGAGAGAGAATTTTTAATATTTATTTTTTTAGTTATTGGCGGACACAACATCTTTGTTTGTATGTGGTGCTGAGGATCGAACCCAGGCCGCACGCATGCCAGGCGAGCGCGCTACCGCTTGAGCCACATCCCCAGCCCCAGCAGTTTTTCTTTTATCTGGATGATAAGGTATTCATTAACAGGTGCTAATAGATATTTATTGACATTTCTCTCTTTTTATAAAACTATTCTTTGTCATTTCAGTCTTACAAGATTATCAATTTTGCCCCCAGTTTACTTCGGATTATAGTCTCTGACCATGTGGAATTTCCAGTACGCCAGGCAGGTGAGTTTTTTTTTTTTTTAATACTTTAAAAATTGATTTATAGGTGAAAATAGAATGAGAATTTTATTTTAATTCTAAATATAATTTCTTGAAAAAGTAGGAAGCGCATCTACATATTTCTAAGGCATAAAAATTTACCTTTTTTTCCCACTGAAAACTTAAAGGTAAATACTAAACTCTCAAATAGCTCCCCCCTACCCTCTTGCTCTACGCCTCAGTTCCTTGCCTTTGTTACAATGTCAGTTTCTCACTTAGTTTTCCCAGTTTTAATTGCTTATCTCCCTAATTTCTTATGATTCCTGATAGCCTCACCTTTGGACTCACAGATGAAGACCATGAGTTTATGTATCGGAATTCAAGCTCTAATTATGTGTCAGTTGATGGTGGTAATTGTCACACAGATGTTCCTAACCAGATGTTTGGAGAGCTGGACTTTTTGTTTTAAACACAAATTTATTCTTAAGTCTGGGATTTTATGTAATTGCTTAATGCACTTTTTTTTTTTAAGTGGGCTTATCATTACAGCTCAAAGGTTAAATATTGAGAAAGCCTTGGAATATCACAAGTCCTTGGAATATCCGGAAAAGATAATAATTATAAACCAACAGGGGTAAAATGACAATAGCTAATTTAAAAAATAAGTGTATTTAAAAGCCTTATGTTAGTGATATATATAGATGTCCCTCCACTAATGATGAATTCCCTTCTGATAAACCCATTATAAGTTGAAAACATTGTTAGTTGAAAAATAATAAGTCAAAATTGCATTTGATTCAGGACATGGTGGTGCATGCCTGAAGTCCCAGTGACTCCRGAGGATGAGGCAGGAGGATCACAGGTTTGAGGCCAGTCTCAGCAACTTAGTGAGGCCCTAAGTAATTTAGTGAGACCATGTCTCAAAATAGAAAATGAAGGTGTCTGGGGATGTGGCTCAGTGGTTGAGCGCCCCTGGGTTCAATCCCTGGTACCAAAAAACAAACAAACAAATTTCATTTGATGCACCTAATCTATTGAACACCATAGCTTAACAACACAGTATACTCTTGAGTTTCTGTTTACCCTCATGATCTCTTGACTGTGGTTGCTTAACATCATGAGAAAGTATCTTGCAACATATTGCTAGCCCCAGAAAATATCAAAATTCAAAATTTCAAGTATGGGTTCTATTGAATGCATACTTCTTTTGCATCATTCTGAAGTTAAATAAGCATGCATTGAACCACGATAAGTCATCTCTATTCATTATAATTGATCTGAGCAATGAAGAAGAATACAAAGAAGAAAGTAAAATTATCCAATATTCATCATTCAGAAATGACCCTCATTGACATTAGGTGAGCATTAGTCTTACATGTTCAGGTACAAGGGTAGAAGAATAGTTTCATAGAAATTGAATTATAATCTACATGCCCATCAAAGTATTTAATTTCACTTGGACAAAGAATAAAGAAGGAATAATTAAATTCTGGGACTATGTTTATGAAAATACAGTTATGTGTTGCCTGATGATGGGGACATGTTCTGAGAAATGTGTAGGCAGGCAATTTACTTATCACTGTTCAAATATCATAGCATCTACCTAAACAAACCTGGACAGGATGGCTTCCTACACATCTAGGCTTTGTGGTATTTACCTTTGGAAAAGTGGTTGATTGTCATAATGACTGAAATGTCATTATGTGGAACATAACTCTGTATGATTTCCTACAAGATTGTTTTGTGGTTTAGATAAAAAAGAAAAACCTATGGAAAAACATTCATGTTGGAATTATTTATTTTAATAAGGTTTATAAGAATTCTGTAAATGCTTTTTGCAATTTTGGATCTCATTTGTTTAATCTTTGACTTTATAAAGTGGGGCTGTTCTAGGGCTAAGGATGTGGCTCAAGCGGTAGCGCGATCGCCTGCCATGCGTGCGGCCYGGGTTTGATCCTCGGCACCACATACAAAGATGTTGTATCTGCCGAAAACTAAAAAAAAAAAAAAATAAATAAAAATAAAAAATTTAAAGTGGGGCTGTTCTGAAACAACATTTTACTAAATGAAACCAATTTTAATAATCCAAGTATTTGTAGGGACATTGTGATGTTCTTATAAAGCTTTTAAAAAAATTTCAAAATATATTGTTTTAGAAGATCTTAAAACAATTTATTACATTAATGTGTTGTTTTATAACATACAAACAAAACACAGAACTTTTACATTAGATTATACTTAATACCACTCTCAAAGATAGCTGCCATCAAATTTGGGGCAGTGCTTTAGTTTTTTCCATTTACATTACACATGCTGTTTTCAAGTTTCCTTTCTTTCATTAAACCATGTACCTTGGAGATTATTCCATGTTTATGTACACACGAATTCTTCATTCTTACAGTGACTCAGTAGTATTTCATTGTGTAGAACTGTCATGGTTTATTTAAACAATTTGATATTGACAGACATTTCCCTCATTGTCCTTTTTTGTTGTTAATAGAAGCAGTGCTTAATGAGCATCTTTAGAAATGTACTCTGGGTATTTGGGAATTTTTATTTTTTAGAATGAATTATTAGGAATGAAATGCTAGGTTAATAGTTGTTAAAGATATTAACAGTTATAATTTTGAATCCGATCACAAAATTGCTTTTGCTTTTTCTTTCTTTTTTTAAATATTTATTTTTTAGTTGGATACTTATTTTGTTTATTTTTATGTGGTGCTGAGGATCGAACCCAGGGCCTCGAACATGGTAGCTAAGTGCTCTACCATTGAGCCACAACCCCAGCCCTTGCTTACTTTTTCTATCAATGTACCTAAGAGGGTTGGGTGTRTAGCTCAATAGCAGAGCCCTGGCAGGAGGCCCTGGATTTGATCCCCAGCACTGTGGAGGAAAAAATGTGCCTTAGAATGTTAGGTTCCCCATATCCTCACCAACTGTGTGCAAACTTTTTTTTTGTGGTGCTGAGGATTGAACCCAGGGCCTTGTGCATGCAAGGCAAGCACTCCACCAACTGAGCTATATCCCCAGCCCTGTGTACAACTTTTTTTAAAAATTTAATTTATTTTTATTGGTTACTCAAAACATTACAAAGATTGCAGAATCACATCGGTTACACACTCACATTTTTACATAATGCCATAATAGTAACTGTTGTATTCTGCTACCTTTCCTATCCTCTACTATCTCCCCCCCTCCCCTCCCATCTTCTCTCTCTACCCCATCTACTGTAATTCATTTCTCTCCTTATTTTTTCCCATTCGCCTCACAACCTCATATATGTAATTTTGTATAACAATGAGTGTCTCCTTCCATTTCCATGCAATTTCCCTTTTCTCTCCCTTTCCCTCCCACTTTATGACTCTATTTAATGTTAATCTTTTCCTCCTGCTCTTCCTCCCTGCTCTGTTCTTGGTTGCTCTCATTATATCAAAGAAGACATTCGGCATTTGTTTTTTAGGGATTGTCGAGCTTCACTTAGCATGATCTGCTCTAATGCCATCCATTTCCCTGCAAATTCCATGATTTTGTCATTTTTTAGTGCTGCG